CCAACTATTGCCCTATTATCATTTTGGTTCACCAACTAAAATTTTCAATTCAAGTGTCCTTAAACTTTTTATTTTATACCAAGATGGTCCATCCGTCAAAGTCTGTGTATTATTCCGTGAAATCAAAGGACAAAACCGTATTTTTAAGTGAGTATCCTCCTCTAAAAGGGTTATTGATCCTAATGGTCCCCCAACTATTGCTCTAGTATTATTTTGGTTCACCAACTAAAATTTTCATTTGAACCGTCCTTCAACTCTTTTTTTCTTTTTTTTTTTTGTATCAAGATGGTCCTATTGTTAAAGTCTGTCAATTTTATTGTTAAATTGAGGGGTAAAAATGTCTTTATGAATTAAAATAGTAATATATAATTAAAAATTAAAGGAAACTATTATAAAACTTAAAAAATTTAAAACATTGAATCTCACCAGATACATGGCTTCTTTTTTTTTCGTGAGACTGACCTAACAATTAATAATAATAAATTCTCTATTGTATAAATTAATAAAATCAAATAAATATAAAAATAAAATAACAATTTTTTTAAAAGAGTAAACAATAACTAAAAATTAAAGGAAACTATTATAGGAACTTGTACCTAATTTTAAAATTGAAAAAATTGAATCTCACCACCAACATGGCTTTTTTTTACTGACATGGACTTAAAATGTAATAAATTTTTTTCTCTATTGTTTAAATTAATTAAAAATTTTAAAATCAAATAAATACAATAAATAAATAAAATTGTCGGACTTTGACGGTAGTACCATCTTGATACAAAAAAAAAAAGAGTTGAAAAACGGTTCAAATGAAAATTTTAGTTGGTGAACCAAAATGATACTAGAGCAATAGTTGAGGGACCAGAGGTACTTTGGTTTTGAACGATAGAGCTTCTCAAAAAGTCACATATACCCTTCAAAACTCAGTCACGTGGCCATCACGTGATCAGAAGTAACGGAATCTGTAACGGATGGACCATCTTGGTACAAAATAAAAAGTTTAAGTACGTTTGAATTGAAAATTTTAGTTGGTGGACCATAATGATAATGGGGCAATAGTTTGGGGACCATTTAGGTCATTAACCCTCAAATTTAAATTTGATGTTTGGTATTTGACATCTCCCTTGGAGATGCTCTAATTGATAGGTTTAGGCCAATTGTTTGGGCTTGAAGCTGGGAATGGAAGGTTTAGGTAAAATAAGGCCCACTGCATATATTAATTATATTCAAGCCTGTCCGGTTTTTGAAGGCATGGAATTGGAACCGGAACCAGCTAGAACTGGTTTGGTTCGGTTTGTTGACCGGTTGTTGACTTTTTCGTCAACTCGGTTTTCCGGTTTGCTGGTTTGAATGCCCACCCCTACTAGAAACTACTGAAAATTCTGTAATTTATCACAAACCTGATCATCAGCCAATCTCAATCATTGACTTGAGATCCTTCACAGCTTCATGAAAGGGGTTTGCATCTTCTTCAAGTCATCCTTAAGACCAACTTCCGGTATGTCTTAAGGGTTTGCAGTTGCGTTCCGAAATGTCCATATAGGCATCAAGCATCCACGTGTTCCTGTTGTTGGAGGGCTTGCACCGCTCTCAACAAATCTTCGATCATTTGCCACATCTCAACCATCTCTTTTTGTTGGGCTTGGTTTCCTCGTCCACGACCTCTAGCACGTCCAACCATGGTGTGGAGCAAGGATTAACCTATGCTCTGGTACCAATTTGATGCAGGGCAGCGGCTATAAGCTTCTGTCAGCAACCCAAGCATTCCCAAAATACAGAAAATAGAAGGATAAAGCAATATAATTGAGTTCCAGGGCAAAAATCCCAAAAGAAACTTCTATATACTAAAGTCTGGAATTATATTTATACTAGATTACATCAGCCAAACATTCCTATTCCTGGTTTATTAAGAAAACCTAATTAAATAGGGAAATTAAAAACTAAACAGGAAATTAAACCAAATTCTAATAAGAATAGGAAAGCAATTAACAAAATAATTTATTAATTTAATATAACTAAAATTATTAGCTGATGAGCCTACTTAGGGCCAGTTTGGCATTGCTGTGCTGTGAAAATAATCGCTGTCAGATTTGCTGTGAGAGAAATCAGCTGTGAGAGAAAGCAGTTTGGCGTTTGGTAAACTTTTTGTTATAAGTGCTGTTTGTACAATAATCAGTTTCTGAGTGTTTGGTAAATTTGTTTGTAAAAGTGCTGTGAGTTGTGTATAATAACTAAAAAAGGCATTATGCTGAAATGACTTTTTTGTTCAAGTGTTTGGTAAAAGGAAAAGCACTTTCACTTTAGCTTATATAATATTTTTTTATTAAATATGTTTCCATCACACCCTAAAAATTATTTTAATTATAAAATAAATAAAGTATTCCATTAAAAATAAATATATTGTCAATAATATAGTTATAACAAAAATTAAACTAGTCCTAAACAAGCAATCATATACATTTCTAAGCAGATGAACTCATTAAACTTGCGGCTATATTATTTCTCAATGCCTCCATTTCTTGTGTTACAGAACCATCTTCTTGTTGTGCATCAACCTCTCTCTCAATCTCTTCATCTTGAGTACCATTTAGGTCATCTTCACTTTCATCAAAATGACAATCACGTTTGGCATGTCTTCTTATATAGTTATGAAGTGTCATGGTTGCAATAACTATTTGACTTGTTTTGCAAAAGGATAACTAGGCATGTCTCGTAAAATACTCCATCTCTTTTTCATACCGTGAAATATGTAGGAATTTTAGGAATCACAATCTTGAATTACTCATGAGATAGACCCTATCATATAATTAAAGTAAAAATTGGGTAAACCACATTGTCAAAAGAAATCTTACAATAAACTGACAAGTAAATGTATTCCAGCAATAAAAGTTCCCAAAACAGTGACCACATTTTGGAAAGCATGCTCTGTGTGAAACGGCGCACTGATATAAATTATAATCCAAAAGTCTCATACTCTCCTTCAATCATTTTGTTTTTTAGGATACGAAATACAGAGTATTTCATAAATATCCAAGTTCTTATTTACACTGCTAGTGGAAACTAGGCCCCTAAAACAAGAAACAACACTGAATAAAGTCACTACCATTTTACGGTTTAGGGTTGAAAGTCACTATGATTTGAAATGCCACCAAAACTGTCCAAAGTTGAACTATACGCCTCAAATAATCCCAGCCCCAAACTACCACTTACTGTTCAAAGGCTTTGTCATTCAACTCTACAAAATAAACCAAAAGGTTGCCATCACAATAAAATTTCATAACACAGCTTTCTTCCCTCCTCAGACACACATGAAAATAAAACAAGCTTTCCTCAACAGTTTCAACGATATGATCAAAGCACATTAACTATTAATGACCCAAATATCTTTCAATCAAATATTATATATAACGTATAGGGAAATGTTTGGGATAGAAATATTTCAATTGTTCAGGCTTGCAAAGCTGATATTCACTAGGAAGGTTTGTATGGACCCCTCTATTAACTAAGGTACATGAATTAGTTTAGAAATACCAAAACTCTTATATAATTAACAGTATTAACCAGAAATAGAAAGCCTCTTGAACTGTGGCAACACTTGACTTTCTTTATCTCTATCCCTAAACTAATAAAAAGAATTCACCTAACCAACTTGCAACTCAATAAGATACCAAATAACAGTGGCTCACTACTGATATAAAAATTCATCTAGAACCCAAAATTCCAAAATGAAAACATAACCAATGAATCAATGATAGTTTTTCAGCATACATATATTAGGAAGACAAACAAAACAAGACCATAACAAAATCTGTCATATTAACACGAATGCAAGCATTTCAGGACCATTACAGTGAAATATAAAAAGATTTAAAACCACTAAGAGGGGTTTAGAGCTTTATTCTTTGGAGGTTATGACCAAGATAATATAGAAAATTCCAAGAAAAAAATACTGATGGCCAAGATAATATAGAAAATTCCAAGTAAAAATTAGAGCTTTATGCTTTGGAGGTTTGACCCCCTCGAAATCTATTTGCCCATAACCAAATAAAGAGAAACAGCAAGAGAGAGAGTGAGTAAGTGAGGAAGGCTGGGATATTTTTTGCAAGCGAGACAAATAGTAATAGAGCAACAGACAAAGACAATAGGGATATTTTTTGCAAATCGGGCAGGACTGACTTTCTAATCTAAGCCCATTTTCTTGGGTCAGTGGTGATGTGCGTTTTTGCTGTTGGTTTTCTATATCACGTATTGGCATGAGAATGACATTTTTTTCATTTGAAAGATAGTTAAAACCCTAGAAATTAAAGAGAAAGAGGGAAGATTGAAATTGAAAAAAAAATAAACATAATATGCGTCTCTTACCTGAGTCTTGTGGCTCAGCAATGAGCTTCAATGGATCCAACAACAAAAAACCGTAGGCAGAATGGAAGAGAAGGAGAAGAGTGGGCTCTGTGAAGAGATTGTGTGAAGAAGCAACGTGATGTGAGGGAAGGAGGAAGAGAGAGCGTGAAAATAGATTGGGGTATTTTCGGAAGTTGTAAAATTCATTAAAACCCAGCGCTCCCTCAAATCTGATTACCGTATAATCAGAAAATGAAAGCAGGTCATTAGCTGCTTTCATTTATTGCTTTCTCTCATAGCAATTTTTAACAATAAGTGATTTTCTCATAGGTTACCAAATGGGCTGGGCTTCCCGAAATTTTTTAAAAATCACTTATTACCCCAAATAAGCAATGCCAAATGGGTACTTAGATTAGGAAAGTCTAATAGATGCTCATGCATCATTGGATTACCTCGAGTTTTTCTTTATACCCCTTCAAAACAAAGCTTGGAGTAAATGCATAATACAGAAACTGTAACAGCTTGTACAAAAAAAAAACAAAAATTATATATAATGAGTTTCTTTTGGGTTGGGGATGAAGGATTTTACTTGATCTCCATATACGGTGAGGCTTGTTTTAGCAGGCAAGACGTATTGTGATAATCTTCTCCGCCTGCTTTCACTGTTAAGATCTGCATAATTAACAAATAAAGCAGTGAGATGATTTTAAAGACAGCAGAACTACGAGGTGGTGATAAGACAACATACCAACGCCATCCTTTTCTTGCCTTCCATGTAAGCTCTCAGGTACTTGGTCAACTGTCCCAAGACAGAAAACACATTAGTAAATCCTAAGCTACTACATTGAAGTTATCGAAAGACTAGAGCCAAACGAAGGACTAGTGACAAGAATAAATCAGTAAATGAAAACAATACCAAAGAGTCCTGGAAGTGCTTCTCCAATGGCTTCATTGGATTCTTCTGATGCTCCAATAAAGACTAAAACAAAAAAAGAAATGGATAAGACCATGGACACACACACATATATAGAGAGCGAGGAAAACAATAAGGGCCTTATAAGTTGCCAAGAATAAGCAAGTAAAATGGTAAACTAATTATGATCAAGGGCAGATGAAGAGTGAGGTCGAAAAAACCAACTTAAGGCTACATACTCTCAAGCACAAGCAAAAGACCATTGATGTTTTATTGATGAAGTTACTTTCAAGCAATCTTACTCCCTGCAAATTAAAAGAAAAAACCTAAGCCATAAACAAAATAATTATTCAAAATCAAGACTATACATTGACTTGTGCAAAAAATTTAATCTGTACACAAAATGTCCAAACCAATTCAAGCATTTCACTATCAATTTCAAAAACTGCTTATGTTGCCATCTAAAGATAAATAGAATGAGGAGAAAAGGTAATAGAAAAAATGTGGTATCATTTATTCTAATGGGTTCCTTTAGTTCAATACAACCCTTCATTAAGTAAAGCATCCTAAAATAGTAATAGTATAAATCTGACAAAATGGTTATAACGATTCTAAAGTATATATATCATGCCTTGTGGGATGCAGTGAACAACCAAAATTGAACAAATTTCAACATTAACCACAGCTAGTTTAGTGAGAATAATTCAGGCACATGGGTGAAACCTGATTCCCAGTTCTTTTTTCTCTTCAGCTCCCGCAAGATCAACAATACTAAGAACACCATCATTTGCTGGATCCTTAACCTCTCCATCAGACTTGTCATCAACAATACGGAGGTTAATAACACATTGCGACCGGCTACAACCATAAAGAGAAAAAGTTGTCATAATACTTATCGAATGTAAGAACCATGCAGAAAAAATAGCCGAACTATAGAATATTTGAGCTCATCAATAACATGGAAACTCGAATTAATGTAAAGAATTTTATAAGTTGAAGAGGTTACACACACCTTGATTGGCTATTAGTATTTGTTGCACTAGTAGCACGCCTGAGTAGTGCCTGAGAAATTAGAAACTCGCCATGTCTCCAATCAGAAATTACGACCTGTTCACAAAAAAACAGTAGGTGCTAGTTATTTTTAATAGGCTTATTTACTGTAGCACTCCCTGAAACTTCGGTCAAATCTCACTTAACCCCCCCAAAGTTAAAATGGCCCACTTAACCCCCTTGATCATGGTTTTGTGTTTCACTTAACCCCTCACGGTCAAGTCAGTCAAAAACTCTGTTAAAAATGCCGACGTGGCACAAATGGGACCCACAAATTTGTTGAATTGAATGCCACGTAGGTGCCATGTATAAAAAAAAATTAAGATTTAAAAAAAAAAAACATAACTCAACTATTAATAATAAACGAAAAATAACAATAAAAATACAAAATAACAAAAGGAAAAATTAATAGGAAATTAAAAAAAACCAGTAACACCGTCTTCTCCATATCCTTCCACCATGGCCAACAGATCTCCTCCCTCTCCCTTCGTACCTAGCCAACCTTATATATATACTTATTTATTTATTCATCTCCCCAACCCAAGACAACCTCTCTCTCTCTCTCTCTCTCTCTCTCTCTCTCTCTCTCTCTGTGTCCAAATTAGTGCCATCCCAGATCTATCACAGACTCAACTCAACTGCAATACCAGATCCAACCCTTAAGGACCAAGGCCACGCCACCATCTTCATCATTAAGCTTTTTGGCCCCCGCAACCCACCATCTTCACCTTTCCTTTCCTATTTTTTTTTTGGCAGTGGGTATGGCTTGTTATGGATGATAGTGATGGGATGGTTGGTTGTTGAAGAGGGAAGGATGATGGGGCATGGCTTGTGGTTGGTTTGGGTGGTTATGGATGATGGTGGGTTGGTTGTTGGTTGCAGAGGGAGGAGGAAGGATGATGGGGGCATCTTTGGGGACAGGGAGAAGTGGGTAGATCAATGCGTACCCTGTTTAAGGAGGAGGGGATTGGAATTTTTTTTTTTTTTTGGTTTGTTTAAAATATTATTATTAACAAACAATCTTTAACAGAAATATTATTTAACAGAAAATCTTTCTTTTTATTTTATTTTACACATGG